ATAACCATTGAAATTTGAAAGTTTATAGTTTTAACCTGTATTGACACTAAGAGTTTGTAAGATTTAATAAATGTCTCCTTGTAAAATACCAAAGCGTTTGCTGCGCCCAATGCGAGCTCTCTCATGACGGTTGCTCACCTCTCCTGCCTCTACTCGCCTCCCCCTCCTGTGCTCGCCTCTGCCGTGTCTGCGATAGTGGACAAGTCACCACGTTCGCGAAGATATCTCGCGTGATTCTTCGAAAGCTGACCCTTTTCCCTTCCACAGATCTGAGATGGATGACTAACATCGTGGTGCTAAACACCCCTTAACGCCTGCCACTGGCAGCCGGCGATTTGCTCTAGACCCGTGCTGGGTACACTGAAAGAGCAAGATATAGGAGTGGTGAGGGCCCAGCCAGGGTTTCAAAAGCAAGTTAGACCGCAAAACACCAATGGCGTGACACAGGCTTTACGTTAGCGTGGTGTCAGCGATTCAAAAGGTCTAGGGAAGGCAGGGTCATCTCTTGCAGAGGTTCCGTCCGTTCCGTTTTAGTGAACTATGAGGCGGCAGGATGCAGTAGGATCGATACAAAAGTTACAAAAGGGCAGTGGTTTAGCAGAGATATCATTTGTATTCAAGTAATTCATGTGAAAAGGTTTCTGACGTGATTATGGCCACGCGATGGGACTAACAGATTTTGAAAACGGAATGGTAGTTAGAGCTAGACCAGTGGGACATTCCATTTCGAAGACTGTCAGAAAATTCTATATTCCGAGATCCTCAGATTTAAGAGTGTCGAGAACCCCTAATTTCAGGCATAACCTCTCAACACGGACAACGCAGTGGCTATTATTATGGAAACGCAGTCTACTATTACTTACTTCCAATACCCGCTGAAATTGATTGAAAACTATTTGACCCTGATCATGTGAGAGGTGTCTATAATTCAGTTTATAAAAGGAACTCTTAAAAAATCCAAAAACAATGAAAGAAATTCGATTTTGACTAAAAATTCAAATATTTGATTGTGGTTATTCCATCTTTTCTCAAATTGCGCGTACAGTATGAATTTTCAATGCGTCTCAGCTTACGATGCATCTGACGTGGAACACCAAGCCTCCAAAGAGCAGGCTGCGCAGTTGCTTACCATTCACGTGTTGCGTTGCGAATGGCAACTTTTTTGTTTTTGGTATGCAAAGATTTTATGTACTGTGTATCCGCACTATAATAAGTTATTTCAGTATTCGTGGAAACGATTTGGTTGAAATAACATATTGCTGTGTTAAACAATAATATTTTATATATTGTTCTTCAGCAGTTTGGGGACAGCTTTTGGCTTTGTTCAGCAGGATGTTTGCGGCTGCAAACCTCAAAATACAACATATTTCCATTAGTATTTGAAATTAACGAACGTGCCGAATGCTTTATCTCTCATAATCGTAATTTACGAGCTCAGCGGAACAATGAACATAGTGCTTGTGTTCCAGTGTTGAAAGCAAACGACATAGTACGAATCAAGCACATTCCTGATCACTTAATGTCACGTTTTTGAGGTAAGCTCGAAACGTTGCGACACAAAATGAGAACGTTAATGGGCGACGTCGAAGGTAACAAAGGAAAAAAAACTTGCTGGTGCCAAAAAACGTGTGATATTGTAATGAACTGCTAATCACCTATCGTTACACGGAAATTCACTTACTTTTTGACATGTGAAATCGACTAAAGTTTATTGACGATTAGATGTCTTGCGAACCCGTTTGAATGCTATGAAGCATATTTATATTCTGTTGTTACGCAAGTTCCTCTCTGTGGATTCTAATCTCGAAGAGGAGCCGCATATGACTAGGTATTACGCTACCACTGCGAGAGGGGTGCTATTAATGTTGTATTCGCTTTTTTATTCGCATTATTCGAAATCGTTTGGGTTTCCCCCATCCAGGTATCTCCCACTAGCTGGGCATCATACCTACCGGGCCAATCTCTGAGCTACTGACAGGTTTTCCGGCATTTGTGGTAGTGTAGGACATGTTAGTTTGTGTGTGTGTAAGGGGTGAGATTAGGACAAGGAAGTGGAAGGAAACATCGCGCGTGGCCCGTTGCCCGTTTGTTATTGTACTGCTCCGGCATTCGCTTGGTATTGATCGAAGAAACCACGGAAAACTGATTATCAGACCAGTCTGTGTCTAGAATTCTCCTCCACACGGCGTCTGAACTTGACCTAGCTAGTGTTAGAAATCATGCCACCGTCGGGACTCGAACCTCGGACCCGCCGATCAGAGATACTGCATTCTCACTACTGGCATCCGTTAGTGCCTTGTCAGGAGTTCGAAATGAAAGGGTTAAATTTTATTACAAATCCTCGAATTTGTTGTTTTTCTTAAATAATGTTTATTCTTAGTTATAATTAAATTATATTATTTCATTTACTTTTCCCATTAAAAAGTATACTCCATATTTATTGGTAAAGCATTAAATTATTAAAATATATAACTTTTCAATACATAAAAATTACGTTCTGTCACTGCATCTAAACATTGTTTTTATGTTCTTGCACTAATGCAATAATTGTACTGGCAGTAAATACATTTTTAAATAAAGAAAACACTACGTATCAATCTGCCGCATTGCATGATCATAATTAGTCTTACTTTACATATTCCAATTAATTTTGTTGGTAAGTTCATTTTCGTTTCTTGTGAAAGCTATATAGGGCTTACATTTACAAAAGTAAGTATCTGCAATTGAGATCTAATTTTCTTTAGGTTTACTCCATGGGTTTGTGTGCTGTCCACTAGGTGTCACCGTTGTCGTCTGTGGTAGATTTCATCGTCTTCAGATCAGCCCACCGTGCGCTGTTACGACGTAAAGATGGTCGCGCCACTCTCTGTTTGCACGAAAGAAGAAGAACAACGTTCCGTAATCCGTTTTTTGTGGTACTGAACAAGGGCGTGCTTTGACATTGAATAGCAAACTAGTGACTTTTGATGAAGTCACAAATCATATACACTTTAGCCATGGTTCTATATATGAAATCTTGCATGTCAGTTTAACTTTCATAAAGTCTCTGCGAGATGGGTTCCGAAACAACTCAATAAAGAGCCCCAGCGCAGTCGAGTGAGAATCTGCCTGCACCTATGGGATCGTCATGCTTACGAAGGTGAAACGTTGCTCAAACCAATCACTGGAGATTAAACATGGATTCACCACTTCGAACCAGAGAGTAAACGTGAGAGCATGGAATGGAAGGTCCTCCAATGAAAAAGAAATTCAAGAGTGAACCTTGTGCAGGTAAAGTGATATTCGCAGTTTTTTGGGACTCTTAAGGTCCCAACCTTGGAACATTACAAGGAAAAGGGGTGAACAGCAAACAGTGGACATTACAGCGATATGCTGTTGAACACGTTGAAGCCTGGAATTCGCAACAAACGCAGAGGTCGATTGCCGGAAGGAGTTCGTTTCTAGCGTGACAATGCGCGTCCACACACCATCGCCCGAACCGCTCAACCTCTTCAGGAGCTGCGTTTCGAGGCGTTGGGGCTTCCTGCCAACAGCCCCGATCTCGCACCCGTCTGTTTGGTCCACTTGCAGATGCTCCAAGAGGCCGTCGATTCTGCCCCGATCAACAGGCGAAGGAAGCGGTGCGGCTTTCTGCGCAACCAAAAGCTTTCTTTCCAGAGGGTACCGGAACGCTTGTTCACCGATGGGCCAAGTGAATTGAAGAGCAGGAAGGCTATGTTGAAAATGATATAAATAAAAATTTCGTACTTTTGATATAAATTATAAAAAAGATTGTAGATACTTATTGAATTACCTACGTATTTCATATAAGGCGATACTTTCTTCTCCCGAATCAAAAGAAACATTTACTAATATCTCACCCGTGCACATGTGAAACTGTAAGCATTCAGCTAATTCTAATTTTAATGTTTTAGTAATCAACTAATTGTATTAGAATTTAATAAATGTCATAGTCAATAACACAAAAAGTATTATCGAAAGCGAAATGTAAGCTGTTTTCGGACATAAACGGTTTTGTGGTTTAGAAACAGTGCGGAAGTCAAAATATGATAAAATATATTATAACTTCCACAGATTAAAGCATTTATTTACGTTAGAAACAGCAATTTAGTAACGAAATAAACGCAGGGTCTCGCCAAATTAATCCGGCGATATTGTAATGTGCAAATTTAGGGGACCTGTATTCCGCCTATAGATCGGTTGATGCTATAGAGCAGGGGCTTCCAACGTCATCAATATTGACGCCCTACGGAAAGATGGTATTTTTCCGGGGGTTCAAAGATAATTAAAGCGTCGTTTTGGGGTTAGGAGGCGAATATTTACTGGCGACTACTCGGTCTAAACAAGATGTCATTGATTATAAAACTATTAATAAATTTAGTTATTTGTTTTCCGATATTCCGAAGAATTTGTTTCTCATATGTGTTTATCTAGAAATGAATTACAATTTTTTCTTCATTTGAAATTTAACATTATTCAAGTGAATGAGAATCGAATTTTGGTGCAATTAGAATCTAGGGAACGTATTGATATTTGAAAACGAAAAAAAAACATACTACTGCAAAAACTAATATATAAATGTAACCGTTGTTAATGTTTTGTTCGTGATATTTCTATAAATAATCTTAAATCATCTGTGAAGTTAATTGTCCTATGAATATGTAGTGTGCTATATATTAAAAAAAAACGTAGTCAATGAAGCAAAACATTCTTTAAAGGGGTCAATAGAAACGGATGCGATCCCCTGTTAGAGAGAGTTACTATAGATGTGATCATTTTGCCACTACGCATCTAATCAAATTTGTTACTGAACTAAACTTGTAATAATTAAAAAAATGTGTTATGATTAATGTCTCTTATAATACCTTTAAAACTGACCAAATGGAGTAGCCCAATAGATTTTGAGTATGTACACTTCATTTCTTTATTTTTGTGATGATGATGTTGTTAAGTGTCGGAGGCCCCCTCCTCCCTCGCTCAATGCCTTGCTCTCGTTGCAGAGACGGGCGCCGAGTCTGTGCCATGCGGGCGGCGTGGGCGCTGGTGTGGGCGTGGGCGAGCGGGCGCGCGTGGGCGGGGCCGCTGCTGCCGCTGGGGGCGGGCGGCGCGGGGGCGCTGGCCGCGTGGGCGCGCGCCGCCCTGCGCTGCGGCTGCGTCGTCCTCCTCGCGCCCCCGCACCTGCGAGGTGCGCCTCGCCCGCCCTCTATGCTGCGAATGCCTGCCTGGCGGTTGAGAATGAATGCCTGGCGGTTGAGAATGAATGCCTGGCGGTTGAGAATGAATGCCTGGCGGTTGAGAATGAATGCCTGGAGGTTGCAATTTTCTGAACATCGCGAAAAATGTGGTTACTCCGTATTTCTCTTCTTATTCTCTGTACGCGACCGATATAATTTTTATTCTTAAAGTGGAAAATTCCCGTGCTCTTATCTCATTTGGTTTAATTTTCGATTTCTTGACAGGAACGAAGGAGGGCTAAAGGGTTAAATTAGAATTAAGGAATAAATATGGGATAAGGATAAGGATAAAATGTTATTAAAGGATGACGTGACCTCCAATAGTGAGGCGGTAATATTGCGAATGCTTTTAGTGTTACATAGACAAATGCAATATTTACCAGCAAAAGCAATTACAAACTGTTACCAAGAGACTGTAAGAGATATATTTTGTACGTTTCACTATTCGTTATTATGTGGAAATAGGTTTCAATACATAATCCATTTTAAAAATACTTTTCATGGAAAGCAAATGCAAAGTAAACAATTGCGAAAAATGTTGAACTTCTCATGAAAACGAAGCAACGTCTTTCTCTCTTTTTTAAATCTTTGATTTGAGAGGCTAACTTACGCGATGGATATAGTGTGTTTCTCCTATAAAATAGTTTTTCACCAAATGGTGTAGATTTTACGTCGGTCTCCGCCAAGTGCAGCTGCTGCAATATTACTAGGATTGAAGTTTTTGGATTATTAGTCTAGGTCATGGCCTCTGGGTCTGCTGATATTTTACTGATTTGACTTGCCTATTGTCCTATTTGTGATGCATAGTCATCTTTCAAGCATTTGTAGAAATTTCTTTTATAAAATGACTGCAGTAATGATGTCGAAAATTCATATTTTTTTATTTAATTTATTTTGTCAATGAACCGCCCCGCCGTATGGATGTTAGCTTTTGTGAAGGAACCATGGCGGGTGCTTTTCGAAATTCCATGAACAATATGAAGAAATAACCTTCTGTCCCGGCCCTCCCCCGCCCTGGTAGGAAGAAGGGAGGGCGATGACAGATGGTGGATATATCGCAGTTAATGGATCCACGGAGCCTCTCCGATGTCCTTCCTTCCCAACTGCAAACACTTGTCGTGTGTGGGTCGCTGGGAGCCCGTGAGTCACAAAGTGCTATGGATCAGCCAGTATGGATATAGAAATCTCAGCGGAGAGAAGTAGGGGGAGGTTGATGTATGCGAGTCAGTTTCAAAGGACAGTGGCAAAAACTGAAGGGGGCATTGTTAATTTCTACTAGAAATATACCCACGTTAAAAGCACATTGATAATAATGATGATGAACATTTATCTGTTGACATTATTTAGATTTTCTATTTCGTGCGTAGGCCTTCAGGCTGAGGCAGAACTGCACGCTTTGTGGCGGGACGTAGGTGAACGGGGAGCCATTTCAGCTGTTATGTACTTCCAGAGTTTCAACGGAACAGTGCAGGTAATTATTAGGCATTGAATATAAATTATTATACAATACGAATATACTGATTTGTTTTCAATTTTATAATATATATCTTTGTAAAGAAAAGTTACTCCATTTGAAACATACATACTCAGATAATTATAATATTCGTAAATAAAACATAATGGGAGAATGTCATTAGCAACCGTTTAGAAATTTTCAACTTGCTTTCGAAGTTCCAACTATCTATTTGTCACTACAAACTACTGTACAAAGTTATTAAAAATACAAAAAATAAATTATAAGATATGAGTGACTCATAAAAAATAATTTAGCAATTATTAAGTTTCCATTGAAGGCGGAAATTTGTAATGAAGAGGTACGTATGTTCAGTAATCTTGGACGTTCTACATTCTTAGATAAATAGGAACGTAGAATGGTGCATGTACTTTCATTTCTACTTCTGCCTTTATTCACTTACGAATATCGCATATATTTTACACCTTTTATCCCTTCGAATAGAATTGTAGACGCTCCTCTCCCTTGGGAGGGTAGGTGGATTCTTGCCAGGGATCTTCCATTCCATCATGCAAATGTAGCGCGCTTGTGCGTGCATTAGGGAGGGATGCCCAAAGAAATGAAGAGACCTGGCACAGTAGATGCACGGGGCTCTTACTTGTAACAAACGTTCCTTTGTTGATACAGGATTTACTTTTCCATGCACACAAATAACTTATGGATTTTAATTCGAATTATTAGGAAATATATGCTTTTGTTTTGAATGTGAAACGTTTCGGAGCTCCAGTTCAGTCGGGCCCTGGGCCAAGTTGCACCAGAACCTCACCCCCCCCCAATCCACTTCTGGGTGTCACTATAGTGAGTGCGTATCTTGCTAATCCTCAGTACCTACGGCATGGGGTCAACTGCTAGCGGAGATGAAAAACCAACGGTCGTACTTCGCCTCCTCAATGGTAAAATTTTGAGCTTCTCTTGAAACCCAGATTAGATTCAGCTTTGTTTAATAGAAAATAACGTTTTTAACGTGACATAGTACAAAGCACTCTACATACATAATGTACAGTACTGTGACTACATGATATTTCATTGAGTTTTGTAAGGGGGGTTGTTTTGATACATAACACCAAAGCGCAAATTCAAATATCCCACACAGGGGGCTACACGAACACTGTGCTAGCAACATTTACGTTCAAGCGCAAAAATCTCTACGAATTTTCCCACGGAATTCTCATTTCAAAAGTAGCACACCCAACCATACGCTATGAGTCGGTAGCATGGCTGACATTTGGGCAAAGTCTATTGCTCGTTCTTCACCTCACAATAATGCTATAAAATGAAGTCGGGTGAATTTGTAAAACAGTGACTTGTGTCCGGGGAGCGGTTCAACCTTTTAATTTTTACAAAGAACGAATTATTTTTCCATGTTTGTAGCAATGTTTACGATGCAGAGATGGGCAATATGAAAGTTGGAATATAACATAAAACAGCCCCCCAAGTAAGCGGGAACGCTATCTAAATGCCATACAAAAATTCAACATAGTACCAACACTGAGTCATGTAACTCAAACATTTTTTCGCACTATCATGCTTGTTTTTGTAGCACAGAACTAATATTGGCAAATGAAGTAAACATAATTCGACCTCACCAAAATAATACTCTCTACTGTTTAATTTGTTCTTGTTCTTTAGTTCAAACTGATGATTTCACATAATTGGGTACATATAATGTTACGAAGATTCTTCAACCACACACAAAAATATCGAGGAAATTAGAGCGCATATTTGAGTCATCACGTTTGATTATTATCTAATTATTGATCATGATCAATTATTGTTGTTGTTGAAGTATTACAACATAATTATTAAACAATACAAATACCTTATTATAATTTACAAAATTAATTATTTCCATTGCAGGCCGACAGATGTCGTGGGCAGCCTCTGTTTCTGCTTATTATCCCGAACACCTTGGGACTTTCGGATGCACAAAACCTGCTACAAGAAGTAAGCTTGGAAACCTCGCTTGATAATGATCAAAGAGAAAGAAATTCTCAATAGAACACGTAGACATTAATGACCTGTTGTTACGTGTTATTTAATTGATATCAATGAGTTCTACGAAATTTAAACTCAAGAAAGTCGCGTGTTGAAATGTCTACCAATGCAGAACTAGCAGTGAAGGTATTCTGTGCTGAAATGTATCCCTTGAACAAATGCCTTAATGACCCCCATATTTGGCTTTTAAAAAAGAATGTAAGTGAAGAATCTGAAATATAGGGGTCCCGATAATATAACTGGGTAAATCCACAAATTGCGGGATGAAGCTATTATGCAATATATCATAGGTATGTTTCAGATAGCTGTCAACAATATAAAAGCATTCCGTACTGGAAACCAGCAATTGTTGAACTAATCTTTAAATAGGGTGATAGATCTGCTGTGCAGAATTACCGTCCGGTCATCGTATGCAAAGAAGTGCGTTTTATTACGAACTACTCGTGGAAGGAATTGAGTAGATCAGGCTAGATATATGATGAACATCATGGTCATTGGATGATATTCTCACTTGCTGTACTCCACCTTGCTGTACTGTACTCCACCTGGCTGTGCTGTATTCCGCCTGAGGGTGCTGTACTGTATCTGGCTGTACTGTACTGTACCTGATTGTATTGTACTGTACTTCACTGTACTGTACTTCACTGTACTATACTCTACATCGCACAGGGAACAAAAGCCAGCTCGGCGTGCGCGTGTGCGCAGGAGCCGGGGGCGGCGTGGTGGGCGCGCGCGCGCTGGCTGCTGCTGGCCGGGGCGGCGCTGGGCGCGCTGGGTGACGCGCAGCTCCTGGGCCCTTCCACGCCCGCGCCCTTCCACGCGCAGCTGCTGCTGGCGCGCGAGCACAGTGATGCCGGCGGGCGAGGTAGGTCTGCGGCGAGCGGCGCTTTGCAGAAGCCGGGGTGCACGCTTCCTTGGCGAACGGTTACGGAGGCGTAGCGAAGGCGACTTTCAGCATGTTATTTGGCCGTCAGGGAGGGGCCTCGTCCTAGGCCAAGGTGCCAACGTTAAAACCGCCCTTATGCGACCTTCCTTAGAGCGAAATGCATTTCGAATCATCAGCAAATGCATTTCGCCCTGAGGAAGATCTCAGAATGAACCGAAACTTTGGAATCTGTGCGTAGGAGGCCGTGTCTCTGTCAGCCAAGTAGCTACTGACTCCGACTGCACAAGTATACCCTCTCATTCGACCAAGCATTCCGGGCAGGATACACTTAACGTCACGAGTGAGTTCTCCAACGTCCGAGAGCAACGGAAGCGAATACTGACTCGTTTCATGCCGAGGGAGGTCGCGTAATAAAGGGCAAAATGTTGGTACGAGACGTCTCTCGGGCAGCCAAGTAGTTACTGACTCCGGACGCCATAACCTAGGCTCTGACTTTGAGAATGCACGTGTTCGCTGTAGCTGCGCAACGCGTTTGCCAACAGAAAGCTTCTGAATTGCGGAATAGTACGCTTAAATTGACGCACGAATTCCGACCCCCCGGGATCGGTAAAGGAAGGCGAAGGGTGGTAACTTGCGAGTTCGGCGGGAATCTGCTTTTGAGTTCAATGTGCATAATGGCATTTGAAACGTGTTCACCACAAGGAACTGCAAAATAATTCGTTTTAAGTTACTTTAAAAGCTATCACTCAGTTTAGGCTCCCTCGAATGCATTACATGTTTCATTCTAAATGCGGTACGTATTCGAGAAGTAATTTACTACATTTAGGAAAAAGAAAAATTCACCTTTTCAGCACTCATGCTTACACTAACTCAAACTTTCACTGTTTATTGATTGGTTAGTGATACTCTGCTATACGCGCTTGCATGCCACAAACATGCCATGATCTTGCGAAACAAACAACATGGCTGACGAATCTCATTTTGGAAAGGATCCCAATAGTATATACTTATAAGTTTTCACGAATTTATATTTAAAAACAAATGATGTACTCAACTCGTACGAAAGTGTCTTTGGCATAAGCATTTCAATATTTTTTTCGTCAATCAGTATTCAAAGACATTTTCTATACTACTTTCATATATAACTATTTCGGGATCGTTCACTCATAAAGTATGTTTTCCTGAAAGAATAAAATGTATCGTTGTCCTACACCGCTCTAAACGCAATCCAGCCATTTGTGCGCGCTGGGTTGGCGAGAGTGAAGTGGCTCAGAGGCGAGGCGAGGCAAGGCTGTGCGTGGCAGGCGGCGCGCTGCTGAGCGAGGCGTTCCGCGCGGGGCGGGGCGAGGCCGGGGCCGGCGCCGGGGGCGGGGCCGCGCCACTGCGTGTGCTGCCGTGGGGCCGCTGGCCCGCGCTGCCGCCGCCGCCGCCGCTGGCGCTCCGCCGCCGCGACCTCTACGGCCAGCACTTCCGCGCCGCCGTCGTGCACGTGAGAGCGGCCGCCAGCCACGGCGTTTCATGCGAATGCTAATACTCTCGCACGGATACTGCATGGTTTAAACGTGGGAGGTGGCTGTGATCCTCCCCCGCTGGATGGTGAGATCTGGCGCCAAACTACACGTCAGTTAGTGGGGGTTCCCCAACCAGGTATCTCTTACGAGCGGGGCACGGCCCCAGCCAGGACAAGCTGTAAGCTCGCGACCGGTCTCCCGGCATGTGTGGTAGTGTAATGTAGATGTGTGAACGAAAGTCGTTGGCCATAGGACAAAAAATAGGAAGGTCCATTGTCCGACTGCGCGCGATCTTTCTTTCCTCTTCCGTGTCCTATCCTCACCACTTACAATGACTACACTACCACACATGCCGGGAGACCGGACGGGAGCAGAGAGCTTCTCCCGCCTGAGGCGGTGCTCCGCTGGTGGGAAATTTGTGGTTGGAGAAAAAATCCACTGGCAAACATCTCGCCATCCATCGGGGGAGGACCACAGTCACCTCCAGAGAAAAAAGCCTTCACTACTCTGGGTTAATTACCTTGCCAATTGACGTGCCCGATCACTAACAATCCATCAATCAACCAATCAATCAATCAATCAATCAATCAATCAATCAATCATGGCAGGAGATGAGGCGCGGAGAAAGCGTCCAATCGTCGTCGAAGCCCAAAATCTAGTCGAAGAGACATTCGGCGGAAGTTCGCACCGAACGTCCCTTGCCTTCCAAGTCTCGCGGACCCTTGCGGCTGATTCGTGGGCTTTGAATTGGCGGGTGTGGCCAACTCTCTATTGGCTCAAACCAAGGCGTTCAAACTACGATATCCACCGCCCGCGCTGCGCCGGGCAATTTGACTTCAATCCGTGACTTCTTGGAGGTGCTCTGCCATGGCTAGCAGCGGCGGCGCTGGGCTCTCTTTCTCACTAGACGGAAGGGAGATGGCTGCCAAGCCCGGACCATATGTAAATTGGGGACCAAAATAATATATTCACCTTATCTCATGAAGATAACTTTCGAAATCTACATGTAAATTGAGAACCGAACTTTTTTATACAGTCAAGAAACTGTGTTACGTATGGGAAGCATATCTGCGCACGTTTTCTTGAGTTCAAGAATCGCTTCCCTTCATTTTAAATATAAATATTTGAAAGATTAATACAAGTTTTACCTAAATAATAATAACAATAATAACAATAATAATAATAATAGTAATAATAAATTTTGAAATGCCGAGATTCCCGACATTTGAAAAACTAGACATTTTCGTTCCCGAGTTATAGAAAACGTATTTGCAACGGTAAAGGATTGCAGATATGATTTTTCTGCATTACTGACATAGAGTAACTCACCCCCAGCTCTACTCCTACCACTACAAACCATGCGAAAGTGGTTTCCAACAAAGCGTGCGCTTAGTGAAGCTACATTTACATCCACAAGCAAAACAAGGGGGTCTCAACATTTCCCCAATGGATGAAGGAAACTGGACAAAAACCTGGTCGAGATGTGAGTTATGGGCCTGAAGCTGACGAACATTACTTGTTACGTGGATATTAAGTATTTTTTAATTATACAAGGAAAGAACAAGGATTGATTGAGCAGTTAAGCGTCATAAGAAGGCCGCAGACGTTTTCAGTTCAATTTCCGATTCCCCTCATAACAACCTTTTCGACTTCATCGATGTATTGAAAATCTTTTAGAATCAATAATGAAAAGCAAAGAAAGGACAGAACAGTGTCCAAGTTCATGTTCAGCATTATAGAATATTGAGAAAAAGGAAGAATATAAAATAGGCAAAATGAGCGGAATTTCCCTTGTACAATTACCCTGCACAGGAAACATCTTGAATCTCCTGTATAGTTGGCAAACGCTAATACAGCCAGCTTCAGCCTGGGAAATTGGGAAGAGAGTTTTGCTTCATAAGTAATGGCTATGAAAATGTTATTCGAAAATAGTGTTTTCATTGTTCACATTGTGAGTTACTTTTAAAACGTGAAGGCTGCGTGTCAAAGTGCCATATATTATGAAAACCTGTTAAAACGCATGAGTTTATAAATTATTGCTATTGTGAAAAAAGTATTCTGTTTCATGTTGGTTTGTAAGCGTCAGTATTCATATTTAAGGGAATAGTTTTTTTTGCATATGTACCTTTATTTGATGAATGACGCAGAAATGGAAACTGAATATAAAGTATCAATAATTAGCTACTAAGCATTGCACACGAGCCAAAGCGCACAGCATTCCTACGCGTTAATGAACAAATGAAAACAGCACTGGTACAGGAAATCAGACCCTCCAATCGGCTCCTTCAATCGGGCTGACTCCAGCAATTATACGATTCCATAATTTACGGTATATACATGCAGTCTTAAACATTGAAGGGAGTGGTGTGGTGGTGTTGTGGGTGGTGTTTCCCTAGATATCACGTGATGGTTGATGTGTTTATTACATTCTTCGACATTAAACTATAGTAAGGAGGGTTTCTTAAGAGAGTTTAGAATATTTTTTTCATTATTTGTGGTGCTTCCTTTTCTTTTTCATGTACAATAACTAAGTATTTTGGTTTGTTTCTATGTATTATAGTATCTAATTCTGTAACATACCTGTGTAGTAATAGTGTAGTTATGTGTTTCAATGCCCTGATGAGGAAAAGTTCTCAAACGTTCGCAAATTTGTAATTAAGTAGCCAACAAACACACATACACATATTCCCATAATACTCCTATGGATTTAACGACATAAAATACTATTGTCTACAGTTTTATTAAACCTTCTACATTACCAATTAACATTACGTATCAAATTAAATACATAGTAATAAAATATAACACATTACGTAAAATAAATAACTTCAAAAGGGAAGGTTTGATTTGTTTGTACGGATTTGTTAGGGTCTTCAGTTGATAGAAACTTGAGTATCGCAGGTGGCCAGTCAATCTTGATCCAATTATTTAATTATATGTCTTCATATATTTTAAATAATTTTATTATCAAAACCATTACGGTCTTTTGACGTGCGACTTCTATTACCTAAAAAACGAAATATATTATAGGACATTTATAGATTGTAGCAAATTATACAAAAATACATTTGATATACTTCAAGAGGATCCCAAAAATAGAGGGCATGAAGTCCAAAAGTTACAAAATGAAGTAACGGTATGATATTTAGATTATAACTACATTTTATTTCGTTTTAATGAAAGTTTCCATTTTTCCATACTTCTGCAGTATTGATTGTGGTTCTGGAAACTCGAACACTTCGGTAACCTCTGCAGTTCTTTGAATATATTGCCTGAATTTTCATTTATTCAATTTTGGACTAATAAGTATTAGCATGATACATTGGAAAATAGGTCATTTAAATCAATCATTATGTGATTGAAAACATGAAATATTAAATAATTTTTTATTACAAAACACTAAAAGAAGACGTGTACAAAAGACCACATAGGTGATGCAGTCAGCGTTATCTTCAAAACGAATATGATAATTTTTTGTTATACATATTTTTTTATTTATAGTCCTTCTAGAGTCTCTTGACAGCTTGCTAATTTTCTGTGAAGCGATCCCGGGTTCGATTACCGATTGGAGAAGAAATTGAACTGTAGCTTGAAATTATAATCCTATTTTTTTAGGCACATCTGATACAGATGCAGCATTGCCATTTCAAACTATAACCCACCCTAATACATTCTCTCCCTTTATCATTATTTCTGCCTCTTTTTCACATCCCTACAATCCCCATCTCTTATACAATTTCTGTAGCTTAAACATTCTATTTTCTGTCATTTACTCCTCACTCCTCACTACCACTTTCTCTTACCTCTCTCCTGATACGGAATACGATATTTATAATAGATACGGAATTTATTGACAAACTAAGGAGGCAAAAAATAAGTTTAAATTCAATAACATTTTAAGAGTACAAAGGGAACAGTCAAACACTAATTGTGTATCAATCAGTTCTCCCTCTAGATCTCGCCAATTACTTACTTTAATCTTCATTGGAGATAAGAATAGTTTCTTTATTTTAAATCTTCATCTTGCAATACGGGAGTTTGCTTCCATGAGCTTGTGAGATATCTGAAATAACATTATAAACATTATCTAAAGTACATTTTAAATTTTAAAAAACTGATTATGAATCCTAATATACTATTAATTTCTACGTTTACGAACCTGAACACAACTAAAATTAATGTATCGCGAATAACATAAGTAGTAAGGAGGGAGTAATGGATCAAATGTGGATTTATAATAAAATTCCATCAAGTTATTTCTACTGCAGTGGAGATTCATGTCTCTTGAATTTGCAAGGTATTATGGAATACGATTTAAGAATACTGATAATGTCAATTCTCTGTTATCAAATCTCGCATTGAAGAAATAGTAGCAGAGAAAATGCTTGATAGCCCGAACGGCTCTGATCAATAATAAGGGGATGCCAACTAGCCCACCTAAGAATAAATTCGTAATTGGTCACGTTATTGATACAAAACTACCATGCTCATGAACACAAAGTATAAATATAAAATTCGCAAGGTACACTAGAATCATTTGAATAATAAAAGGTAAATTTTGAAACTCGACCAAACAAACAACTAGAGGTACTACTCAACAACAAACAACAAACTTTCTCGCATTACTTCTAAGTTGCAATTTGCAATGCAATTGTAGTTGGTGTCGGGGGGGGGGGTCGGGGCCGACAGAAAATAAAAAGTATACTTCATAACATTGACTTTATTATATGGAACCAAATTAATCTTCATATCTAGAAGCAAAATATGGATCTGAAAAGAAAGACAAAAGTAGATTAGCATTACCTCAAATGAGATCACTAATAGAAACTCCCAAAAAGAAAGAATGACAAACAGACAGAAAAGAAACTCTGAATATTGAAAACATAGCAAATAAAATGTTACTAAAGGAACATATGGTATCATCATGTAAGAATGAAACCTGATATATTCCCAAAGGAAATACTGCAATAGGGACCAG